AATCTCACATAAAATAAGCATAAGGCCTGCTCTCCCTGAAAAATAAACATGCTCCCTGAAAAAGATCCCTCCCTGAATGATATGCAATGCATATGACATTATACTTCATCTTGAAAGAATATTATTGAAATAGATAACCTTAACTTACTGTCTTCTACTGTCTGTGCAAAATCAAAAACATTAAGAAAAATAAAGTGCAATTCTCAAAAACAATAATAAAACTATTGGTTGTAATGCCATTGCACAATCTAAATACAGAAACTTCACTACTGTTAATCTTCATGTACCTCAAGAGACGTTAAATAACTGCTAGGCTTTGAACTGAACAGATTAGTGCAATTCTCTAATGTAGAATAATGTATTGGCTGTAATGCCATTGCACGCACTACCAAAGACAGACTCCCTAATGTTCAAGTAAATAAAAAACCCTGCTCTCATACAGGTAAATGTCACATTAAACTAAAAAACTCTGTAAGCATCATCTTCTTCTTCATCCTCTATTACTCTGTGCATTGTGTGCAAAATCAAAGAGATTTGAAAACAAAACATGTAAAAGATAATATGTATTGGTTGTAATGTCATTGCACACAAAATGAAATAATCTTCTGTTAATAATTAAAAGAAGTATCAAGTATCAGTGAATTACATGCTAAGCTGTAATGCCATTATTGCATGGAACGAAAAAATCTCTCTGCTCTCATATTAAACAAAAAACAAAACAAATAACTTTCAAGCTGTGCATATACTACTTCAGGAAATGCTGTAAATAGCAGTGAATACAACAGTTCTATTTGTTTCTGTTCATTTTAAGGAAAGCACTTCGCTCCAGTGTAACCCTTCCTCTGTTGCGCCGTCCTCTTGTGAGGTCACCTGTGATGCTGAATACCCTCTCTGCAAAGCTTGAGAAGCTGGCATAGCCAACAAGTCTAACGCGAAAGGTTTTAAACTGTGATAAAAACTGTCACTCTTATCCAGCCAGAAGTCTGTTCCTGTGTCCGCAGTGATGGGATGTGAAAGTTCTTCCTTGTACTTGATGATCTGCCGCCTGATGCTGGTTGTGGAGGTTTTCTATTTAGGCCTTGTGGTGCGGCATTTTGAGAGGAACCTAAACACCGGCTGCTTTGAGGATGGCGCTGCTTCTGGTTCCTCAATAACCTCTTCTTCTGCATCATCTTCAGACTGGTCCTCCTGTCTTGTGTGAGGGAAAGTGCATTTGACCACATAGTCTTCTGCCTGTTTCAGCGGTTCCTGGATATTTCCATCAGCCACATTAACATTAACAAGGATTTCACAGACAGTTGGGTTGACAAAGCAGGCAGCTGCTGCAAGTGCTGAGAACTTTTCATCGGCTGAATCCAAGAGGCAAGCAAAACGCTGGTTCAGATTTGATCTCATTTTCTCTGCAAGAGTGGCGAGGTCTCTGTACCGAGTGTTCTCTGCAAAGTCAGTTAGGCGGCTCAGCAGATCAAAGAGGGCAGGAACCACTAAGGACATAGATGCAGTGTCACTCTGGAGGGTTTTAGTGTGTTCCCCAAAAGGCAGCAGTAAGTCATGCAATGATGAAAGCTTTTGCCACTCACTAGTAAGCAAACTGTCCCATCCCATGTCATTTGTGATTTGACAGACTGCATCTTTGACTGTGAGGAGTCGTGCGACCATGTTGAATGTGCTTGACCAGCGTGTGGGGCAGTCATTTACAACAATAACACCACAGTGGTCCGATAACCTCTGTGTTGCAACTGAGGACTTGCGAAAGAGCTTCACCACATCACCACCATGTCGACATGATGGTACCTAATAACAAGAAGAAAAGACAACCATAGAAGTCTAAACCTAATAAATTGGCTGGTGTGTGTCTGTACATACTGTATATATGTAGTGTGTGGCAGGGGGAAAACCATTCATGTGATAATTGACTGTGATGTAAAAGAATAAACTAAACATGGCTCACCGCTGGTCATCAATTTCAGAGTCACTTTCCATCGTGGACCCAGGGGAGTCATCCTCAGAGCTGGTTTCTTCTGCTGTGGTGTTTTTAAAGGCTGCCACCATGTTACTCCCATTGTCCGTTCTTACCGTCAGGATCTTCTCCTTTGGTATGCCCCACTCTTGCATACATTTGTCCACACATGCCTTAATAGACTGTGCAGTGTGTGGGTGAGCTACTTGTTCAAGGGCCAACAATATGTGTACAGGTTTACTTTGTTCAACACAAAAGTAGCGTGCGCTTATAGCAAGGAAGGAGGCTGTCAGTCCTTTTTTTGTCCACAAGTCAAGGCCAATGGAAACTCTCCGGGCAGCAGCCAGTCTCTCTTTGAATTTTTGTCTTTCATGTTCATACTGTGTTTCAATCAAATAGCTCATTTTAGTTTTCTTTGGAACTGTTAGTCTCCTATCTACTATCTCCATCATTAGCACAAAGTCCTCGTCTTCAATTGTTGTGAGTGGTAAACCTGTGCGTCCAATCCATCTAGCTATGGCCTGCTCCTTGGTCTGTTGTTCCCTCCATTCAGTTTTGTACTTTGAAGAACTTAGGAAAGCTGTAGAGATGGCCTGCTGCTGGGTTGCACTAGCAGCACTAGCTTTATTTCCACTTGGCCTACGGTCATCTTTGTCATCAGATGTCTTCTGTATCTGTGAGGGTGAATAAAGGGGAAATCAAGTTGTGTTTTTTTTTGCCCAATCTCCTCAGATCTCTCCCTCTCTCTCTGTCTCTCACTCACACACCCTTCGTCCAGTCATATAACACCACAACATCTAACGTTACTATAATACACATTTTACACATTTGATTCAATTTGAGGACATTTAATATTTATGCTCATATTAATTCAGCGAGACAATCGTCTAATCAATATAGCTCAAGCTGGTTTCCTTTAGCTTCTATTTTATTCCAAGTTTAACGGAAACACGGTGGTTTATCTGATAAAATAAGCTTAGCATGTATGCTTACTTTCACATGTATTTCCGGATGAGTCGTCTGTAAATGTCGCTTCAAGTTGGTGCTGTTTTTCCCAGCGATCTTTGCTCCACACGGTTTACAGGCGGCCATGAGATTCGCTCTGACTGGATTTCTTCCAAACTTGTCCCACAAAAAGAGTAGTGATGATTGAATCTCTTCTCCATTCGTCCCTCCCTAAAATTTTGTCTAATTTTTATTCGTTGACTAAAGTGTCAGTTATATTTCGTCAGTCATCATATCTGACTTTTTATTTAGTTTTTATTTAGTTTTCGTCCGTGAAAAAGGTTCGTTGACGAATATTTTTCGTCATAGTCTTCGTCAACGAAATTAACACTGCTTGGTGGTTTTATTTCCTTGTTCTGTTCTGGTGGTCTGGCTTGGAGCTCATCCTGCATGTAAGACGAACTTGCCCCTTGTACATTGAGTGCGAGCTCCCCTTGCTGCTGGGTCAACTGTCTGCTGGTCATTATATTTACTGCATGTCAGCTAGTGTGTGTTTCACGGGGTCATTGATATCTCAGCCAGCCTGTCTCTTTGTGCTTCACATTGTTTTAATACCTTTTTTTGATTAACAAACTGCTTTCCAGACAGACTTGCCTTCAGGCTGCTAGAGACCTGTTGTTCGTGGCTCCAAGGGGGGCCTCCGCTATCTTCCAATTTCTTAGCTGTCCATCAATCGTATTTCTCCTCCATTTATTGTATTTCACCCATTTAACCAAGAATGATAGAGGTAATGAATTTCTTGGGACCACTGAGTATCTGAGGGTTTTCTGTATGTAGGTTAAAAATTATACTTTAGATTGCATGTGCTTCATTTATTTGTAGTATTTATTTAGAAGAATACGTCAGTACTTCAAATATTACATTTATTCATTTAGCGACTTAAATTGCTATACATGTCAGAGGTCGCAGGTCTGAAGCAACGAGGGGTTAAGTGTCTTGCTCAGGGACACAATGGTGGATGTCTCACAGTGGGAATCGAACCCAGGTCTCTCACACCAAAGGCAAGCATCTTATCTATGCGCCATCACTATCCCCAATATATAGATGGCTTGCTTGAAAAAGGGTGTCCCTTTTCACAAATAGTTCTGATTGTCCTTGTATTTTAATGTTTTGTGAAAAAACTAAATTGAACTGAGCTGCATCGTGCAGCGACAAAGACTAAAACTAAACTAAAACTAATAAAAACTAAACTAGCAAAACTAAAAAGTCAAAACGAAATAAAAATAAAAACTAATGAAAAATCCAAAACTATAATAACCTTGGTTAACACATCATCTCTACAAAACTGCAGATGGTGCCTGTTGCCTCCTCTAAGCCCAGGCTATGGAAGAGGTCCCAGCTGTTACAGGAAAAGCCGCCTTTTAAGGTCTCAATGCCATCATTGTTCCAAACATGTACACTTTGACTTGTGCTCTCCTGTTTTTGAGCAGGGACTTGTAGGTGGGAATTAAATGGACAACATTATGGTGAGAGGTGCAAATGGGGGTTTAGTATTACAGTCTAGATATTGCTTCAAACCAGGCAGCACAGCTTCAGCTTGCAATGGTTACAATCACTAACAAAAAAAGGTCCTTCAGGGGTGTGTTTCAATTGTCTGTGAAAACAGTCTGCTAGAGTGGAATTGGAGATACTTTGGAAGTATTATGGATATACATGATTCAAATTCTGTTCTGTCTGTTTTTGTTTATTGTGTTTTATCTGTAGTGCTTCATTTAAAGTTGCTTCTATCACCACTTCAACAAATCCAGACTTCATCATCACACTGAAGTTTAACAGTGTGTGACTCCCTCTAGTGGACGTTGTGGAGTATTCTGTTGTCTTTGCTCCAAAGGTTTTTGTACAGAGCTTTGGTGTTTCCTGTCACTGTGGGCTGCAGAGCACAGTAGTACACAGCAGAGTCTGTCACTGCAGCAGAGGAGATCTGCAGATCGACTCGATTCCTCTCCTCATTCAGGTTAGCGGTCAGTTGAGGGTGTGGAGGTTTTGCTTCCACCACTGAAGGCTCTTTTGCATCAGTGATCAGGAGAAGGAACTGAGGAGCTGATCCAGGATCCTGTCGATACCACTGGAGATTATCGGCTTTAACTGAATAGCTACAGGACAGAGTAACACTACGGCCCTCTGATGAGAACACTTCAGCTCTGCTGGCAGTAATATCATCTTCCAAGGTGTTACCTAGTGAGGGAAACAACATGTTAGATTCAGAGTTCTGTTCCAAAGGCAGACATCCATCATTTAAAACAAGCACTCACTGTCAGAAACACACGTACCTACGAGAGCTGAAAAGAACAAAAGTGCAGCGAGTTTCTCCATGTTGACAGAGGAGAAATGCTGGAACTGAATGTTCAGTATGAATAGAGGTGGAATCCAGTGTGGATGAAAATCTCTCCTTGTACTTGTCTGCTGTTTTCCCTTCATCCCGTTGAACGCGGCTCAGTATGAATTCAGGGCTGTTGTTTCCATCCTGTTTGTACCAGAAGAGATAATCATTTGTTGTACTGCTGTTATATAGACAGCCAAGTGTTACTGTCTCTCCTTCAGCAGCAGTCACGTCTCCTTCTGGTTGCAGCACGTTGTCTTTTTGTGCTCTGCATTCTGTGAAACAGCAACAAACAGTATCAGTGTGCTGTTAAAGAATCATGTCAATGTTGGATTGATATCAGAGAACCAGAGTTGTGTTCATACCAAGGCACACAGCAGCCAGCAACACTGAGATGAACAGAGGCGTCATATCTGCAGTGTTGAGGAACTGTGAGCTCCAGCAAGTATAAAGAAGGCTGTGATCTCTCTGTTTAGTCTTCATCAACACTAAGTTGGTGGATTAGAAGGAGGAGCCTGATCACAGTGACGGGGCTCATTCACAGCCCTGTGTTATTCCCCGACTGACAACTTTACACTCAACACATTTTCCTCACTCTCTCCTTTCCTAGTGTGACAATTAGGATCAATTAGTGAATGTTTTTAATATGGTATCAGCATCATGTTAAAGGCCTGTCAGTTTGCCAGCCTGTCCACAGCTTCTCCAGATAAAGGGCTAAAATATGAAGCCTGTTCAGAACACATAAGGATCTCCAAAACCAGCTCAGTGGTGTCGGCCAGAGGTCGGAGTAAATCATGTGTCCTAGTCACAAGCAAGTCTCAAGTCTTAAAACAAGTCCCAAGTTACTGAGATAAAAGTCAAATTAAATTCTTAGGAATTCAGTTTATGTTGAAACAGTTTAAGAGAGGTGGTAATTCAACTGTTTGATCATTTTGGAAGACGTAGTGAGTTTCTGTTCTAACTGTAATGAACACAACACAAAGGTGTTCCTATTATTTAGTCTACTATTGGCTTCGCTGATTATTGAAATGGGGTAGAAAAATACAGTAATAGAAACACGTGTCAGTAACGGTAAGCTCTTCGCATTCCTGTAAAAATTGTTGTTGGGTATGTTATAGCGTATTTTTTTCAAAAACAGCACCGCCCCTTGGCGGCAAGCGGCTGCTGCTGCATCACGCCGGAGATTGACGCAGATGTGTTTTTTTAATGTTAAAGCTGGATATCGTTATTTTCAGAATTTTATTGGCTACAGGAAGTGCCAGTCATCGGCACAATTGGTTGCAATTGGCTCGGCCTACCCACAAAATAACAGGGGCTTTCCTCCGGCGCGGGCTCTCGTTGGCTATTGTAGACTGTGAAAGGGACATGTGAGCTCCTATTGGGTCAAAGTGGGTGTCAGTCGAAAGGTCAGAGTTCAGAAGCTAATTTCAATAGAGATCGTATTTGTTTACATGCAAATCGGAGTTATTATGGTGTGTTGATGTGTTTTGGACTAAATGTTTTTACTAGATTGGATTTCTGGACCTTTGACAACAAGACCATATTTGTTGGAATATCATCGACCTTTGAGGCTTCACAGTTGAGTCGCGTCAATTTTGATTGTACTGGTTGGTCTGACAGAGGCGCTTTTACCCGCTGTGGTGATTTTATCTTGAAATGGTTTGTATTGGTCGAATCATAAGCTTTCTTTCAATCAGCGGATCATATGAGTATGAAGTTAGCATATGTGCAGTTGTGGGCACATAACGAAAGCTGTCATCACGACCTGTTACCACCATGAATGTTAAGAGGTTTTCACATAAGTTACAAACTGCAGCCAAACAACTGGGTGTAGCTTAAACTTAATGCTAGCTTTCTATGCGTTCGACCAGCCTGTAAGTCAGCTGACAAGCCACAGTCATGTAAGGTACCTTTCTTTATTGGTTCCATATTGACAGATGAAGTTGGATGTTGTGGTGGTCGTGTCACAGATTTTTGAGCTGCAGACCTTGTACATCACTGTTCTTTTCTTCCTACTGTCATCGACAATATAATCCTTTTATAGTCTTTTGCATCTCCGCTGTCACGGAGATCCGGACTGCTACGTGAAAGTACACATAGTTGCAGGATTAGGCGCAAACATTGGAATTAGAAAATATTTAATAAAAAAATTAAGTCATTTTCAAGTCATCTGTCTGAAGTCATGAATACCAACTCAAAGTCAAGTCGAGTCTTTTGTCTGTTTGTCAAGTCTTCAAATTTGCGACTCGAGTCCGTCTCTAGTCCCCGCTGAAAACATAGTTATGGTCACAAGCCAGCTCTTAGCCCCTCACAAAAAGGAGGGGAGACACAATAGGTTTGCATGCCAAAGATATGATTTGTTATAAAAGTAAAAGAAAGGTCAAATAATCATCAAAAACATGTGGTGTGGCAACGTATGACTGTCAGGATATGTGTATGTCGTCAGGACAAACTCAGTAAGACGGCGGCCTAGGAGGAAAGAGAACGTCTCGGGTTACGTATGTAACCCTGGTTCTCCGAGAAGGGGAACGAGACACTGGCTTTGCGGGGAAACCGAAAGCGCTTGGAGATCCCCCACCCTCCTCAGAGAGGTGATAGCAAGGAGAAAGGCCATCTTGAGGGTCAAGTGCTTAGCCTCAGCTGACTCCAGGGGTTCGGAGGGGGCCTCAGCCAACGCCCCAAGAACCACTGCCAGATCCCAAGTGGGAACCTTGGACCGAGTCGCAGGTCTCATCCTCCGGGCACCACGGAGGAAACGTTCAACCAAGGGAAGTTTCCCCAAGGACCCCTCCCTCAGAGGGGTGTGGAAAGACGAAATAGCTGCCACGTACACCTTGAGGGTGGAAGGGGAAAGACCAGCAGAGAACCGGTCCTGGAGGAACTCAAGTACCTGAACCACCGGGCAGGTAACAGGGTCCACCGACCGCTCCCTACACCAAGTGGAGAAAACGCTCCACTTCAGGCCTTACATCCTCCGTGTGGACGGGGCCCTGGAGCTCAGGAGGGTCTCGACTGCTCCGGCTGTTAGACCCGCCTCTAGGTACTGTGCCCCCTCAGGGGCCAGACCCACAGTCGCCATATGGCGGGGCAAGGGTGAAGAACCCGGCCCTGCGCCTGGGACAGCAGGTCTCTCCTCAGAGGGACCTGCCACGGCGGGCCGTCCAGGAGCGACATGATGTCCGAGAACCACACCCGGGTTGGCCAGAACGGGGCTACGAGCAGTAGGCCGACATTGTCCTGGCGGACCCGCTCCAGAACCCCCGGGAGCAGAGCGACTGGGGGAAAAGCGTACAGACGTAGCCTCGGCCACGAATGTACCATGGCGTCCAGACCCAACGGGGCTGGAGGAACGAGAGAAAACCATAGCGGGCAGTGCGTAGTCTCTTGAGACACAAACAGATCCACGTCTACGGGGCCGAACTCTTCGCACAAGAGCTCCACCACTTCGGGGTGAAGTCTCCATTCCCCGGGCCTCGGCCCCTGCCTCGACAGCAGGTCTGCTCCCTAATTCTGCGTCCCCGGGAGATACATCGCCCTGAGCGATAGTAACCTCTGCTGGGACCACAGGAGGATCTGACGCGCCAGTCTGTACAGAGGGCGCGAGTGCAGACCACCCTGGTGATTCATATAGGCCACCACCGCTGTGTTGTCTGGAACAAACCAGGACGTGGTGGCCTTTGAGATCGGGCAGGAAACTCCTTAGAGCCTGGAACACCGCCAACATCTCGAGACAGTTGATATGCCACTCGGATTGATGCACCTGCCAGGATCCCCTTGCAAAGCGGCCGTCCATGACCGCGCCCCAGCCCGTGATGGAGGTGTCTGTCGAAATCACCAGCCGGCGACAAGACCCTCCCAGCACGGGCCCCTGGGACAGGAACCAAGTTTCCTTCCAAACTGATAGGGAACGAAGACACTTGCGCGTAACCCAAATCAAACTGAGAGGATTTCCCCTCGTGGGAAAAACCCTTGTTCCTTAGCCACCACTGCAGGGGTCTCATGTGCAGCAGTCCAGATGGTATTACGCTGGACGCAGCCGCCAGGAGACCCAACACTCGTTGAAAGTGTTTTATAGTGATGGCGTGGCCTAACTTCACCCCTTTCACGGCAGCCAATATGGTGTCGACACGTGCCGGAGACAATTGTGCCCGCATCGTTGTCGAATCCCATACTACCCCTAGGAACGTAGTCCATTGGGTGGGTGCCAGCACACTCTTCTTTGCGTTGAGCCTCAGCCCTAGACGCCGCAGATGAGCCAGAACGACATCTCGATGCCGAACCGCGCCAACTCTCGAGACTGGGCTAGGATGAGCCAGTCGTTGATGAAGTTGAAATCCGGATGCCCTGGAGCCTCAGCGGGGTCAGAGCTGCATCCATATACTTGGTGAATGTGCGAGGGGAAGTGCCAGGCCGAATGGAAGAACCCGATACTGGTAAGCCACACCCCGAAGGCGAACCTCAGGAACTTCCTGTGAGAAGGACGGATGGAGACCTGGAAATAGGCGTCCTTTAGATCTATCGTGACGAACCAATCCTCAGATTGGATGTGCGTCACGATGGTGGGGATGATGAGCATCTTGAACCTGAATCTCCTCAGAGACCGGTTAGAACCCGCAGATCCAAAATAGGGCGCAGCCCTCCATCCTTCTTGGGGACTATGAAGTACCGGCTGTAGAACCGGCGTCTCTGTCTGGGGGGGAGACAGGTTCCACGGCCCCTTTCCTCAGCAGAGTACGAACTTCCTGTCCCAACACCGGACCTTGCTCCGGGCAGACCACAGTCCAAACCACCCCCTCTCTTCTGTTGAATTTTGGAGGGCGGGTTTTGAACTGTAGTCGAAACCCATGTATGGCAGTGCGCAGGACCCACGGAGAAATGTTCGTCAGGCTCTGCCAAGCCTCTGCAAAGTCTGCCAACGGAACCAACCCCTCGGGGCTGGTGGTCGGTGTCTCGTGTGATCTTCTGGTGGACCCCTGAAGCCCCAGAACGGCAGGGGAGAGCCGCCGAAGATCCACGGTGAGTGAGTCTGAACGCCGCCTGACTGCAGACCCTCAGGGCAGGCAGTACGGCGTGGACTCGATGGTGGCAGGTGCGTCCTGAATGTGTAAACGGCGGGATAACATCACCCGTTGCCACGGCGGAGGGGACCTCGATCGGCCTCCGGGGGGGGGGGTGCGGGAGGGGAGAAAGACTCCCCTACCCCGGTCTTCCCTGAGCTCCGTCGGGACTGGATGACGGTCCTCAGATCGCGTCTCTCAGAAGGCTGAGGGTGAGAGCGCCGTCTCGCTGCCCCAGCTCCTCGGGGGGACCCCCGAGAAGCGACACTCTGCTTCCTCTCCTCTCCGTAGGAGCTCGTAGAGGGAAGGGACCTACGCCTGGCAGCCTCAGCTGCCTTGGGTCCAGACCGGCGAGGGAGGTACTGGCGGAACGCTTCGCACTGCGTCTAACGCTCCATGGTTCTGCGAAGCTCCACCAGATCTTCCTCAGAGGGACCCCCCCTCTGAACCATCTCCTGTAGCAGGTTGGCTTGGTAGGCTTGAAGCACCGCCATGGTGAGCAAGCTCGCACCTGCCTGGCCCGCTGCCATGTGCGCCTTCCCCACAAGCGTAGATGCCTCAGCGGCCGCAGGGCCCGCACCACGGGGAAAAAACCTCTGGCCATCCTCGGAAAAGAGAGCCATGCTGTCCCTCAGTACCCGCACGGAAAGGGCTTCGCAACGGGCGCAGGCGGCCCCCTCGAG